AAGGGCGAGGAGTCTGCCACTGAGACCATATCACTAGAGCTTATAGAGGGAGCGTGGGGAACACAATCGAAAGCTTTTGCGAAATCAATGAAAATTGCGTGAGGAATCAGGCCGCCATCATGGGCTTGAGTTAGACTGTTCATGACAGATAGCATATAGGAGATGCAGGATCTGCCAGGGAGGAAGCCGTGTTGGGTTTGAGAAAGAAGCCGATTGTCTGTTAAGAGTTTTAGAATTGCCCTTTTTAAAACCCGTTCGAAGACCTTGCTACGCACACTAGTCAGAATGATGGGTCTATAACTACTTGGAGTGTGTCGGTCCCCTTTTTAAATTGAGGGATATGACGCCTCTGTTCCAAGATGAAGGGAATATTCTAGCACCTAGATACTTTTGGAAGAGGGTGGAATAGTACGGGGAAAGAACCGAGGCGGCTTCTTTTACCGCCTCAGGGTTTACACCGTCGGGTCCCATCGAACTAAAGGGATTCATGGGTTTGAGTAGTGATTCGGTCTCCCCTGGAAGAATGATGAAACGTTCTAATAGAGGGGGTGTATTAAGAGAGNGAAAATTGGGTTGGTAAGAGACAGGAGGAAAATTAAAGGTCGATTCATAATGAGACCGAAATATCTCAGCTACCTGAGCAGAGGAGGTTACAGGAGGGCCGTCAGGTAGCTTGAGAACTAGCGCAGAGGGTATTGTTTTCCCTTTACAGCGGAGTGACTTAAAAAAAGAAGTAGGGTTGGTTCTAGCATGAAAAAGAATTACTTTCTGTTGTCTATTGTGGAATTCCCTAACTCTCTTCTTGCATAAGTTACGGATTTGCTTGAAATCGACAGCATCAGCGTCGAGCCCAGTACATTTTAGTCTAGCGAATGAATGCGCCCGCTGGTCCATTAGGTGCCGAATGGAGCGGGGTAAAGGAGGGCTATGGTCAGATGCAGATTGAACTCTAGAAATAAACAGTTGGTCTGCTTCGTGAATTAGACTCTTGAGTAACTCATTTAGGTTGCTCGGGTCAGTATTAATACTGCAGGAGCCCAGTATGTTGGCCAGGAATTCTCGTGGGAGAACGAAATCGGCACTTTTGAAGGAACGTAGCATTCTGAAAGAGGGCCTGCAAGTTGGTCAGCGGTAATATGGTCAAAGGAAAGCAGGTGATCGCTTTTACCAACAGGACTTAGCTACGTGATCATACCGATCTGGCGGCGTTCGTTGGTATTCGCAAGATAAAGCAGAGGGGAACGTTGGCCGACACGGTATCGTGTGGGAGAATTTACGTGTTGGTACCACGAGTGTTCGTTGAACAGGTTTATAAGCGGTGCACCAAACATTCTATCTCTGGAGTG